TAGCCACCCTCCGCCGTTCTGAACGAACACTTCCCGGCGGCGACGGTGGTGGTGCACAGCCGCATCATCCCCCGTTCTCTCCCTTGCCCACCCGTCGTTACGCAGGTACGTCCACCATCACCGCTGCTACGCTTCCTTCCTCTTGCCAGCCTTCCACCTTCGTCCGTCTTCCTCCCAACGTGGCCTCCGCAACGTGGCCTAGTCAGTACTCATCCATATACATCGAGAAAATTAATATCTGGGCTTCGTCGGGTTTGTTCGCGCGCGCTGTGAATAAACCCGGTTTGCGCCACCCGGGCGTTGTTTCCAACTCACCCCCATCTAAAGCATCCTTCGCGTTCCTTCCCTTTCGCCCCTTTCGCCCCTTTCTCGCGCTGGCAGCGATCAACGTCGCGCAGCTTCCTCTCCCCGTACCGCCGCTTTTTTGCCACGCGTGAATGGCTCTTATTCCCGACTGTAGTAACGTCGTTTAGCCGCCAGCTTCGCTTAAATAAATTTCTTTGTTATTTTTGCATGCTATAGAATAGCGATGTTGCGGGAAAATTTTTTATACGGCGTAATGTTACACATGGCTATCTTCCTCGGAATTTAAACGTAACTCGAGTTAATCATGCGAATTGCTCCGAGCGTGGCGTATTGCACGTTAACTGCGAAATATATTCATAATGAGAATACTTTGATACAAGCAACGCGGAGTGCTGGGTTAATGTTAATAATAGCGCCGAGAGAATTGCAATTTTTCTTTTGTTGCCATTTTCCCCGAAAGATACTGCGCAACCGACATTTTCTATTACCACGTAATCCTTCCTTTATTACTTGTAGAAGGCTTAATACTCTCGTTCTTCGAAGATAAATGTATCGCTACGATGATTAATACGTGTCCGAACAAAAATTCAATTCGAAACTGTAATGTGAGTATACAATACATACGTTTCATGTACGTAGCTGTATACCACGTTTCCATTGTGTTCCGTAAAAATTATGTTGACACATTACGTGTTTATTTTCTGAATTACGTTTTAACGTTATTCGAAAGATGCTGCATCAGTATCTCGTTAAAAAATTAACGCGCGTTTTCAATTTCCGGCGCGGGTTTTTCAAGTAAAAACGAAAATTCTCCAACATTTTTCAGTTCACGTAGGTGATATTTTCGAGAGAAATACGCGAGACTTTTAATGCAATAATTCACATCGATATCCGATCTTTCGCCATGTCGTGTATTTTTCACAAGCATGGGTTACTACCACCCTTATTCGTCATTCTGCCGCACGTCGACGTTGTAACCAGGGGTAACGTCCGGCGTAGCCGCGCGCACGCCGCTTATATTTACATATTTAACTAACCCAACGGCGCGAGCATTAACGCAAACACAGACGGATAATCCGGAATATATTAATCCGTGGCGGGCGCATACCATCGCTTTGAATTAACGTGAATATTCCTGTGTAAGCCCCCGCACGCGCAGCAACGTCGAATCGGACGAGTGCACCACCTCGCATGCATATTGCAGGTATGTTAATGCGCTTTCTCTCCCTCTCTCCCTGTCGTCTCCCTCACTCTCGCGATGCAGTCGGATGCGCACTTTAACGACGTAAGTGGAGAACGAGGGAGAGCGAAAACGATGAAGCGCGCGCGACACGACCGTATACGTGCTATCGGAATGTCCTTCTTGTCTCCCTTCGAGCGAGTTAATCTGTCTCTCGGGGGGAATGAAATACACCGGGAACAAATCGCATTAATGCAGGGACAAACAAGTGGCGCTTTGAATGCAATAAGTGCAGCCTTTACACGAAAAGAACGGTTTTGTTGAAGTATCTAAAAATTTTGCTAGATATAGATCTGCAAATAATTTTCTTTGGAGCATCATAATAATTATGAACGTGTAAACTTGTTGTTAGAATGTTAAAACTTTTTGTCATGAACGTTTAGTATTCTTCATAATTACTTTGATGGTCGAACACGCACACACAAAAATTATTTTCAGATCTGTATCAAGCTAAATTTTTAGATTTACTTTAGCAAAACCATTCCTTCGGTGTATCGACTGTATTCGTGTAACGACGAAACGCTACCCTTTGTTTTTATATTTCGAGTATACATTTCTGAGAAAAAGAATATTTTGTCCATAGGAATTGATTTATCTTTTTAGCTTAACTACAAATAAACAATTACGTGTGGTATTATGACAACGTCGCTTAGTTATTATGTAATGTTATAACACTATTATACCGGGGTTAATGTATGTCAATATTATTATTGACGTGTACAAAATATATCCATCGCGCATCGGTATAAAGCCTGAATCTGGTCGGTTTTAGCAGAAAACGATATTTGCCCGCAACACCAACTATTGTTATCGGTATTCTATTGACTACCAACGTCAATTGACTGATTCGAGAGAATGCGATTTTGTGTTATTATTGAGGCTTATTAGGATATATATTGGTAGCCTCTGGACAATGTTACTCGTGCGGATCAACATCTGCGTTGTCTATCGATATTCGCAATATATATATATATATATATATATATATATATATATATATTTTCCGCGAGTCTCGAGATGTGTGTAAGTCCGATGATGAGAGGACAGATCGAAAGCCATGGACGACGGAGCTTCCATAAGCCGCTTTCGTCCGTATCCTCGAGGGGATTTAAGTCCCGACTCGTGCAGATCAAATTGTCGTCAAATATTTACGAGTAAGGAGCCATTCGTCGTGTGCAGCGCTTCGAATGTGTCGTCGTAACGTTGCCGCACTTGCCACCTTGCGTCAGTACGAATCGACGCAGATGAAGACGCCGCGTCGACGACGACGTACTCTTTTTGCGCCGTCACTAGCTCGCCGAATGCGCGCTCTTTGAATTTTAATACATCGTAAAATCGTGGTGATTCCTAACCGGGTTAATTCTCAATCCCTCATCGAACCGAGTATGAGCGTGTATTTTTTATCGATCTCGTTTTTTACCTCATTCCTTATTCTTCATAGTGAATGAAGAATAAAAACGTTCATATAAATTTTGTTAAAGATTTATGCACGTTTCATCGGTTGTATTTTAATAAAAGAGAAGTTTTTGCATCTGTTTCTTTTTTTTAGACTTTGTGAATTTTCTTTTATATATTATATTGATTAGAAATTTAAACTAAAATCGATGTTGTTTCGATCGGAATGTAATTAACTTTGAAGTAAATGCACTTAACGAAAGTAGCTGATACTCTAAAATGCACAAAGTTTGGCACATAGCCGTATATCCTCGTTGTATCATGGAAACCGTCCGGAGTCTCGAGAGATCTTCACTGCCTGCGAGATCTTTCAAGTGTGCTCCAGCGTTGTTACCGTGTAGTGGCGAGATACGCGAAAGATATGCAAGCTACGCTGCTCTTATGCAGCTGAGAAATTCTCGCTTAACTCGTAACGGGTAATAATTTTGTCGTCCGTTGATAGTAGAATAACAATAGGGTAAACTCGGGTATGATGGCCATAGATTTTTAAAATGCAAAAAACATACATTTATTCTTGTTATTTTTTAACAATATTTGGGATATTACTTTCACTGAAGCTTAAAGTAATAAATACTATCGAAATTGAAGAGAAAATACTTAACAGAACTTTTATTTTATCTCAAAATATTACAAAGTATGCATTGGCCATCTTATCTGATTTTTAGGGAAAAGATGGCCATAGTATTTATAAATAAATAGTGAAAATGAAAGTATTAATTATAGGTCACATTGCAATTTACGTACTTTTATTGTGTATGTAGCAGCTTAACTGTAATTTATTAGACATTATAACAGTTTTTAGCAGACACGTGCAAAACTTTGCAGATAGTCGAAAGAAAAAATATTAGATAATATTTATAATATTGTTATTTTGAACAAGTGTACTCATATGAACTATTGTAAATATTGATTATCTTTAAGAATGGACTATAAAAATGCACTATTTATCAATTATTGGAGAAATTATGGCCTATGGCCATCTTTTCCGTATAGCCATAATACCCTAGTTTATCCTACAATCAACGATCAATGAGTGTCTTAAATTTAGATATGTAATGCATATTTAACGATTATATTGAAATGGTAATTTCTTGAGACGTTTTTATATCGCTATTTTTAGAAATACACGTCATGAAAGTATCGAGAAATAGAATGATTTTATTGACATATAAATATCTCCCCTAATTTGCAGATAATTCTTGAAAAAATCGATGACTATAACTTTCTGAGTAACTGCGCAGGAACGCGCCACAACTCGTTTATAGAAAGTTATTTTTGTGGTACGCACTTTTAGCGCGCGAAGAATTTCGTTCGTTTGTCAACGCCGGTCACCTGTCAACCTCAAAATTGCGTAAGGTTGGCATTGAGACGAATCGAAATCAGCGTCGAAAGAGATTTTACGTGAACAGTCAGTTACGTTCTCTTAGTCATGTATCTTTATTTTTGAATTCCACGTTATTATTATTGTATTACAAATATAGATGATCCTAGAATTAGGGTTGACAAAGTCGAAATAGAAATATTCACTATAAATATATCTATCATCAAGTAAAAACTATTTATATTCATCTTGAATGAATAGGTATTATATTGAATATATATATATATAGAATAACGAATATATATATATATATATTCGATATATTGTTTATTCATTCAAGATAAATATAAACAATTTTTGCCTTGATGAATATATTCAAAATGTGTAGCATGTTGAAAGAGTTCTTACATTTGCTATTTCGTCAATCGAATAAGCGTTATCTTCCAATATTCTAAGATAAGCGAGGAGTTACATCTGATAAAAAATTATTCCGTTGATTAAGTAATTAATGAGTTATAATTAATTAATCAGTTAATAAATTGTTATAATAAATTGTTAATTTTACTTTGAATTTAGATCCATAAGAAAAATTAATTAACTTTATTCATGATATAAGTTTCTATACATAATATGGGACATAATGATATTAATATTTAATATTTTACTTTCGTGTTTCAGGAAATGGGAACTTGGAGTTGTTTGATAGTGAGAGCGGGCCGGACCTCACGCTATCACCTCAAACCTTCACGTCAACGGCGGAGGCCTTCATCAATGACAATAGCGACAGTCTCGGGGTTCCAGGAGACAACGATACCGGTAAGTCGTCTCTATTCAATTAAATCAAACGATCTTCATTCGAGATGAAAAAATCGCAATCTCTTAATACAGGGAGAAGGAATGAATTTTAGTCGAAAATTAGACTTCCGTAATCGATAAACAATAGAAAGAGATTTTTAATGTATTAGGTAGACGCACACAAAAAGTCGTGCATAAATGCCAAAAAATAATGTATTTTTTTATTTAGTTTAATTCAAACGCCAACAACGGAGTTTTGTAGCGCGCGCATCGTGTAGTGTTACAATCGAAATATTTAATTTCTCAATTTCGACTTGGGCTAAGACGATGAATTATAGGATAACTACGACAATGCAATTCGCATGACAATAATTTTAACGCGCGACTTCCCGTAATTCGATTTAATTCAATCTGCGAGAGTGCAAAACGTCGATGGGGCGCCGAGTCGTTAAGCGCCGGAACATGGGACAATGCATTAACGTAATTGTTGCTCTCCTCGTCAGCGGCACGTAGGAACAGCGGTTATAACTAGTTCGAACAAGTCAGAGGGGGAGGAAAAGCCGTTGTCGCGCGTGTGCCGCGACACATAATGCCTATTGTTTCCGACAAGTATAAGGGGCCACCGTCGGGACAGTCGTGCACAAGTGCAACGCGCACGCTTTGTTTCTTGGGGAAATGTTGAGGAACAATCAGGACTAGCCCATGGATATAGCAGTAATTTCAATTATTATTACATTCTACTTCCCTCGAGCGAGGATAGCTATTCATTTCCAAGAAGAACACGATATTTACGAGTTTTTTATATTACCATATTTATTGAAGAAAATATCATATCAATTTGAACATAAAACGATATATTCAGGTGTATATTAATAACAAAATTTATTTGCTTAAGAACAGCTTTACTACATTAATCATCCTAATTTTTAACGCAATGTTAATGCAATGTTTTTGAGCTTCTGGTAAACTGTCTAAATTATTCCTCTGCTCTACAAAATGTATTATACATTCGACCTTTGATATTATTTTCTAAATAGCAGCTTTCAACAAACTTGTATATGATGAATCATATATTCTATTTATAAAATGCGATGCAAAACATCGCGCAGCTTGCGGTTCTTAATGACGTCATTAACATCTGAGTGTATCTCCCACGTAAACTCTACAAATGCAGGTTGAGCCAAAAAAATCGTAATCAGTACGCATCGAAATATATGTTTCTCACAAGTTGTTCCAAGAGATATTACTTTTATTTGTACAGAAAAGATATCGTTAATTAGGTATGTGCGAAGAATATCGTTTGGCGTATACGCTCCGTCGGTTTTGCCGCAAGAATGAATATTGCCACATCGTAGTATCGATATCGTGAATCAGCAGACCGGTGTCATTCAGCTCGTCTCGTCGAGTGTGATTTCGCGAGCCAAAAACGTACTGGTCACGAAACACGAGCCAATAATCATACGCGTCATCGCGGTGCTCGCACATTTCCGCAAGACCCATCTCACCTTCGCTATATTATCGAAATTGACACACTCCTTATCTGACTATCGCAAATGAAGCAGTTTTTATCATAATTAAAAAAATTCGCATTGAATATTTAAAAGTGATTTCTTAGATTTGAAATCGCAAAAATTTTATCTACTGCTCTTTGAAGTCTACAGTTTTGCTGACGTAAAAAGAAAGTAAATCCAAAAGTGTAGGACGCTCAAATTAGTTGCTAAAATATAAAAACTTTCTGCGGTATTACTCTTCATGTTTAAATTTCCTACATAAATATTTTGATGGTCCAGCAAAATTATTTTTAGGTTTGTATTTACCGAAATTTTTTAATATTTCTTCAAAAATTATTCTTTCCGTGTAAATATGTATCTTGGTGCAACGAAGTTTTAAATAAAAGTTTTATCACGGATCTACATACTTAAAATTAGCCGAAGAATACGGTTAAATCCATAAATTTTAAAATTGATTCAGAATAGTTACATAACTTCGTATAATGTTCTGATTTAGTAAACCTTGCAAAATAACTCGTATAGTTCGAGCACTTTTCATCTCGCTTTACAGCTCGTATTCTCTTATTTCCTATATTTCGCGGCAAGGCAAGCCCTTCTCATCATTCTTTGGTCCTCGTATACGTTGAGTGGATTTATTGGAGAGTCGGTTTGCAACGGGTGAAACGCGCCAAAGGGAAAGAGAGTGAGAGAGAGAGAGGGGGGGGG